CTTGCGTAACGTGTCTGTACACATCTGTGTTATACACGGACTGTCTAAATATCCTGCATTTCTAAATGCCATGCTATAGCCCAGAGTTGGCCTTCCGATGAAAAACATCAGACAGTGAGGCACATAGTACCACACAGATGCCCCTTCAGAAAATATCGTAACTATTGTGATTTTAGTATGCTAGTTGTCAGACAATCCCATTGTATAGGTAACCTTAAACTTCCAGCATTCATATTTATCACATTTGCATATGCACTAATTCTTGGCCCCACATCTTCCACCTGCCTATTGCAAAGTTAGCTATTTTTACTGTAATTTTCATTGCATTCTCTTTCCCTTCTTTTCAGAAGAGCAAACTCTTAAGATGTTTTTTTTCCTTACTTTTGCTGTAGAACTTCATCATAGTAATGGAAAAAATGTCAGAAATATTGAAGAAAAAAACATAGCGAAATGTCACACAAAAGGAAGAAGTCTTTCATCCAGCGAGTTTGTCAAAAGATGCTATTTGACACATAACTGCTTCGTTTATGGACTGTCAGATTAAAAAGCAGCATTTTTCTCCAACAGAATGGCAGCAGATTGTCAGGAGCGATGGGACACATACAAGTCACACAGACGAGGCTTTTCGGGAGCTGGAAATTAATACCTTGGCTAAAGAAACATTGTCATTTAAGAAAAGGTTAGAGGTAAGAGAGATGGAAAATGATTACGGACCGGGAGGAAGCCGGTGAGCTGTCAGCAGAGCCAGGCCCAGCTGCGTCACGGCGCTGCTTGGGACCCAACTGCCCCACAGCCGGGTCTGAGATCCTGGGCCTGCGGTGAGAAATGGGCGCTCTGCCTGGGAAGGAAGGGCCAAAACCACATCTCTGAAAATAACACATCTAAAAAGAGCTGTATTAGTGCAATGCAGTGCTGCTTCTTGCAGTGCTGCAGGAACATCAGCCCAGCTGCCTCTGCAGATCACCACCTGGTTGTCCAGTATCAGACTGAACTCACAGCAAAAAAAAAATGAGCTTCCCGCAGAGCAGCCAGCCCCCTGAAAGCACACAAGCAGAGGGAACGCGTGGCAGCTCCCTGCAGGCACACCAACAGCAGCAGCCGCCAGGGCTCCCAGGACCCTGCAGTGGGTGGGTGGGCAGCGAGCACACCACAGGTGATAACTCCTGCACGTTGCTTTCTGAAGGTTTTGAAGAAAACAGCTGAGTGGCTGAGATTTTGGGTTGGTATCAGGAGAAAAACAGTGCTTTTTTGTTTGTTTCCTAAAAAAGAAAAAAAGTTTGTGAAAAATGTATTTGAATTACTGGTTTAGATAACAAACCTAATGATGAGCAGTTGGGGGGTTGGTGTTACATTTTTCTTAGCATTAGAAATGTGGGCTACACAGGAAAATAACAAGGTATATAGAGAGCTGGAATGATTTGGAAAAAAAAAATCAGATAAAGCTCATAACACTCTGGAGATGTTCCTTTTATTCTTTTCAAATCTGTAATATTCATTTTATTTCTTTCATCTTCTTTAGCTTGAAGTTAATTGATAAGAGACAAAAATGCTCTAGATAGCTATGACAGATAAAAAAAAAAAAAAAAAGGACAATTTTGCATAGAGAAATCAGTGATTTCGTCCAGATCCCAGGCCATGCAAGGATTCTGTTGTATTTGAAATGTAACCTCTGTAGTCAATAGGCTTTCTTTACAGAAAATATTTGCTGTTCTTTTGGCTGTAAAGCAGACATCACCTCGTGTTGGTGAAGCAAGGAGTCAAATACCTGTAACTAACTGCCCGGCCAGGTAGCGCCATCACACACACAAATCACTGCTGCAGTGCAGATGGCTGCAGGTGTCACAGACATTACTGAGGTCTTTGGATTCCTGCCTGAGAGCAGGGTGAGCTACAGCAGATCGAACATGCTGATGGGCACTGTTTCGCCTTGCTGGGAAGGTGCCTGCTCCCCTCCCCGGCCCCGCCGAGGTGCCCGTGTCCTGGGGGCTGCCGCTGAGCAGCGCGGCTGCGTGTGGCCTTCACACCTTGTGGCTGAGTCCAGCAGTAACCTGTGCAAATAAGTCTCCATCTACACGTTTCTTGAGGACCTCCAGGGATGGTGACTCAACCTCTTCCCTGGGCAGCCTGTCCCTGTGCCACACAACTGTGTCATTGAAGAAAATTCTCCTAATACCCAACCTAAACCTCCCCTGGTGCACCTTGAGGCCATTTCCCCTCATCTTATCACTTGGTGCTCGGGAGAAGAGCCTGATCCCCACCTCACTACAACCTCCTTTAGGTAATTGTACGATAAGCTCTCCCCTGAACCTCCTTTTCTCCAAGCTAAACAGCCCCAGCTCCCTCAACCACTCCTCATAAGACTTGTAAGACTTAGACTACTGCCTGCGTAGATGATCTTCCACATCTCCTGAGCGGTAATTGCAAGAAAATGATTGACTTACATGCATTATTTAACCATGTCTATTGGATATCTTGCCTTCTCAGCAAGATAGCAGCATCTTCCCCATTCCCATACTGACAGGTCCCTCTGCCCACTCCAGTTGCCCCGGGGGAAAGCATTCCAGCAGTCACAGAGCAGCCTCAGCACATTGCTGGCTCCTCTGCCTTGTGAATTAATTCCTGCTTCAGGAAGTAGAAAGAGTAGTAGGCAGATATAAAGACAACTAAAGCTACTCATTGAAGGATAATAGACACTGAGCAAGAAATTGCCCACATGTAAAATTTGCGCTGTATCTCAGCAGACTTCCTTTCTATTCTTCCAAAGGATTGGATCTGACAGCAAGCTTCACATTTAAGCTATTAAGCTGCTGGCTTTCATTTCCTTGCTAAAATAAAATGGAAATCTGTGGCTAGTCAGAGCTCAAAAGAGGGAAAACATTTTCTCCTTTCCCATCAGAGTAATAAGTCGAGCACGTGAGCCTGTCTCCAGGCTCCTGTTCCTCCTCTCTGCAGACTCTGCTGTCCTGCAGCCCGGCCACCCCGCTCCTGCAGCACAGCCAGGCTGCTGGTGCTGCCCTCACCCAGCTGCAGGCAGGGGGAGAGCAGCAGCGATGTACAGGACAGACACCTCAGCGAGGTTCAAGCACAGCGTCTTGGCTTGGCAAGATTTTGTTTGCCATTGATGATCTGCAGGAAGCACCACAAAATTCTCCCTCGTCCAGACCTAGGCTCTCCTGATTCCCAGCGCTGGAACAAAAGAGCATGCTGCACTTTTCACCTCCTGTGAATCCTGGTGCAGCCAAACGCTAACAAAATGCTGCATTTTTAATCCTACCCTGTGCTCAGCAGCAGCGTTGTTCAGGGAATGGATGCTACCAGGAAAGCCACGTGCAGGATGCGAAGCAAATGTACGGTTCCAGATGTGACACTGGGCACCTGTCAGTTCCACCACCAGCTGAGCATCAGCACACACCAGGTGCTTGATTACAAGCGCCTCATTAAGGAGATACGCTATGAATACGTTGTAAAATTTGTGTTCATGAAAACATGGACTGGAGAGTCACATTCCAGCTGTAGTTCTCCCAGCTACAACACAACTACAAACAGCCCAGCTTTGTCATCAGGAGAAGTAAATTTTTCTCCTACTCTTCACTTTCAGAGCTCTCATAAACCCTCATTGCTCTGATGCTAACACCTTTTAATTCTCACTTACTAAATATATTCACAGTCACATTACACAGATCTGCTTTTAGCACAACACCATCCCTTAGTTTAATTAATTCTTCTCCCTTTTTTATGTTTATTCCAATGCTGCATTTATAGAGAGGACATACATCTTCCCCTTGCTTTTGCTTTCCTTTGCCAAGCACCCTCACCAGCCCAATTTATCTTGAATGTGATCCACGAGGAAATGAGCAGCACCAGCCCAAGGAGTCATCGTCAGCAGCTGGGCAAACAGCAGCACCTCATGCAGACACCCTCCATCGTCTGCACCTCTGGGGAGCGCGGTGGTGGCCATGGGCTGGGTGCCAGAGCAGTGGCAGTGGAGGGGGGGCAGGCACGAACACCCCAGGGCAGCACCCCAGGGACCTGGCGTGTCCCCAGGGCCAGCTCACACCACTCGTGGGCAGAGGAGCTCCAGGTGGCCTTGCCACAGAGTGCACAGTTCAAAATCACGCTTTGAATTCCACTCCTAATGTAGAAAGATGTTTGTTTATTTTAATGTGTGGGTACAAAAATGAAGTGACACAGATCGTGCAGGGCAGTACTGTGATAAATGCTCAACACCCAGCCTGTCACTGCACTGCAGGACGTAGTGCCGGGTCTGCAGAGAGCTGATGGCTTCCACTGAAATTACTGACCGTCCCTAAGGCTGCTAAATAATAAGACATCCTTGACCAAATGATATTTTCATCCAGCTTTCATAAGATCAGAAAATCCAGACTATCTGTCCAGCCGTGCTTCCAGGAACTCATTGACTTCAATAACGCTTGGACTGTGTCGTGGTTTAACCCGGCCGGCAGCTAAACACCACGCAGCCGTTCGCTCACCCTCCCCCCTCCCTCTCTGGGACGGGGGAGAGAAATGGAAAGTGAAGCCCGTGAGTTGAGATAAAGACAGTTTAATAAGACAGGGAAAATAATAATAACAAAAATAATAATAACAATAATAATAATAATGATACAATAGTGATAATATGAAAGTAATAATAGTATGTACAAACAAGTGATGCACAATGCAATTGCTCACCACCCGCTGACCGATGCCCAGCCTAACCCCGAGCAGTCCGGCCCCCTCCCCCCGGCTAGCCACCCCTATATATTGTTTAGCATGACGTCAGATGGTATGGAATACCCCTTTGGCTAGTTTGGGTCACCTGTCCTGGGTCTGTCCCCTCCCAGCTCTTACTGCACCCCCAGCCTGCCCGTTGGCAGGACAGAGCAAAAGGCTGAGATGTCCTTGGCTTAGTATAAGCACTGCTCTGCAACAATTAAAGCATTGGGGTGTTATCAGCACTCTTCTCATCCTAAGCCAAAACACAACATTCCACCAGCAATAGAATCTGTGCAGAAAAAGGATGAAAGCAAGGCAAACAGTTAGGACTGAGCAGGTAGGCGATCCTACAACACTGTAATGATGCACAAAAAATCAATACGCTCTCCAACAAATATTTGCCACCTCCCATGTTGTTGCCTAAGTACGAGCCCTCACTAACAAAGGATATTTTTTTTTCCTATCGGCTTCATATTCAATTATCAGGTAAATCTCTCTCTCATTTCCAGTTATCATTTTTGCATATTTTTCCTGACCTAAATTCCTGAAATTAATCCATTTATTTATTTTAAATTTGCAGGTGGAAATTTGGAAAACAGACTTAAGCAAAACACAAGTCATCAGTCATTTACAAGGCTTATACATTAATCAGATACATATCTCAGACTCAAAACACTGTTGTCAACTTAAGTTAGCTTTTTAACAAGCTTTGGGCTTGCCTTTTTTTTTTTTCCCCTCTCTTTTCAGATCCTAGGAAGAAGGTGTGCACCTAAATGTTTGCCTGGCTTTTTCCCATTTCTACAACGTGATCTAATTACAGGTTGGATCTCTCCTTTACTGGGAGGTGATGGAGCACTGGGACAGGCTGCCCAGAGAGGCTGTGCAGTCCCCTTCACTGGAGATATCCAAACCCCGCCTGGGTGCCAGCCTGTGGAAGGTGTTCTGGGTGATCCTGCTGGGCAGGGGGGTTGGACTGGGTGATTTCAGAGGTCCCTTCCCACCTCGGTTCTGTGATTCCGTACGGTGCTGCATTTCAGAATGTTCGTCGTCTAGGATGAAATTTCTCATCTAGGACGAGAACAGTACTGATAAGGCGCTGACGGTTCAGTTGTTGCTGAGCACTGCTTGTGCTAGGTTAAGGACCTTTCAGTTTCCTATTCTGCCCTGCCAGCAAGGGGGCTGGGGGTGTGCAAGGAACTGGGAGGGGACGGAGCCAGGACAGCTGACCCAAACTGGCCCAAGGGATATTTCTCTCCATCCCATATGGCATCACGCTGAGCAAGCCCTAGGGGGTGGCTGCCAGGGGTGGGGGGGAGACTGCTGCTCAGGGATGGGCTGGGAGTGGGTTGGCAGGTGGTGATAAATTGCATTGTGCATCACTTGCTTTGTACTTTCTAACAGTGTTTTCATTATTATTTCTCTTCATCTTCTGTCCTGCCACATCAAACCACAACATTCTCCAAAGAGGACTTCTGCACACCAGCTGTTTCCTTGTAGGAAGAATTAGCAGGCACTGAGAAGTGCTGGAACACTTGAGTAAATTGGCACCTGCTACAGCAAACAACGATTCTGTCAATGAAGATAACACAGCTGGTTACAATATCACATGAGCGCTCTGACCACTCCCTTGACTTCATTGCAGTCACCGCATCTGAACAGCGAAGGGCCCTGACATACATGAACATAGGAAATGTCACCGGAGAGGTGCCTCCCCTCCAGCACCCCCATCCAGCACAGCACTCCTGCGAGGAGTGTTTCACATCAGGTGTGGTAGGAAACCTAGCGAGAGGGAATAGCCCCACTAAGATGATCTTATCCAGCCATCTTACTGCTACTACAAGTATAATCCAATTTAAAAAAAAAAAAAAAAAAAAAAGAAAAGAAAAGAGAGAGAGAAGATTATATCTGAAAAGCGTCATATAAAAAACTATTAGCCACCAGTGATCTGATAAATTCTGATTGCAAATACGGATAGCACCTCAATATGATATCAAAATTGTATTGAAACACTTAAAATGAATAAGACTTTCATCTGAATTGCTAAAATTTGTGTTCCCCAGCTGATTTACTTCAGGTGTGGCCTCACCAGGGCTCACATTCAGATTTAATAGATAATTTTGGAACTGATTCACAGATATCTGCAGAATTCTGATCACTAAAGTCTGCAGAACGACACAATGAACATCACCCATACCGTCTCCTACACTCCAATTCAGTCATCTTACATCAAGTAGTGAACACATTTTTTTTTGGTATATAACAAAAAGAAAAAAAAAACACCAAAGGATCTGATTTCTGTTCTTACCTTAGAACAGCAGCGATAGTTACAAATATGATTTAAATACATCACAAAGCACGCCTGGCAGCATCATGCCCACAGACACTAAGGGCTCTCACACACATACACGCAAACACAAAGTGAGCTTTGCATTCTGTCACAGGGTTAGCTGGCATTTTATGACTGCAAGTTCTTACATTAAGGTGATCAAAGAAATAAAAAGCATTTTGAATAGTTAATGATGAAAAATAGCTTAAACGTTCATAAAAGCTTTATTTTTTGTCATTTGCTTGGAGTCTTTCAATGGTTTATAAAAAAAGCATTAACACTAAAGAACTGAACTATCGATCATTTTGGTAGTTGTTACAATTAAAATTACAAAGTAAAAGACATTATAATAAAACTCTGCTTACACGTCCTTATCATTCCTGCTGCTGGCCGTTCGGCAGCCTGGCCCCACCAGGAGGCAGGGGCTCTGCTCTCTGGTGGGACCATCACCAGGAACAAACAGAAAACAAACAAATCAACCAAAACCAACAAAACAAACAAACAAAACAAAACAAACAAACAAAAAAAAGAATCTTGAGAGCACTGCAGTGCCTGACAAGGGAACAAGGAATATCCCTTCCTCATAACAGGAGGGAGATCTCAAGACAAAACATGACGCTGGTGCAAGACCTTACATGCAAGTTATAAGGCTCCAGTTAACTGAGAACAGGATTTGTGGTGAGGGAGCCAGTGGTGCCCCTCTCGCATTGTTATTCACAGTTCCAAGAGGTCACAAGCGGGCAAGATAATGACAAACACACCGTGTTTTGTATTTTGTTCTCGTCCTGCTTACACGATATGGGTGCACAATGCTCTTGCTCTGTACCATGAGACATGGAAATCTCTCCACGTGGTGCTTCAGCCACCAGCCTCATCTCTGCTTTTAAAGCACATGAACAGTAAATACCATTTTGTGCCCCTTCCGTCCTCCTGACGGCAGAACTCTTGTAGTGCACCTCAGCACAGTGCAGGGAGCTGCTGTGCTCCTCACACAGCTCCGTCAGGGCAGCTGGCTGTAGGATGAGCTACAGCAAAGCAACTCCAAGTGCTCTGAACCTGCCCAAGTCCTCATCCACTCTGCTGCCTCTTGCAGCAACCTCGGTGTGACAAATATCACTTCAGAGGAGCTGAATGCAACCACCAGGCTCACACAAGGGCTTCCAGTGCTATCAGCTCCTCAGCACAAAGGGAGGCTGTAAGATGGGGCTGGAGCTCTGAGCCCGTCCCAGCCGCAGCCCGGGGTGCTGAGCAGCTCCACAGCAGGCACCAGGCTGGGTCTGCGCTGAGCTGGGGAGGGCAGGATTGCTGCTCGGGGCCAGCAGCACCTCCAGTGCTCACCACTGGGTCCAGGTACGTGTTTGAAGATACACAGAAACACCAAAGCACCCATCGGGAAGGATGTGGTTTAACTCCTCTTCAGTGCCAAGGGTCTCTGCCTCTGAAGAAAGGGTTAATGGCTGCTGGCTTAATTAGTGCAACATGAATGAACAACATTTTTGTGAGCTTGAGGGTAAATTAAGACAACGTTTAGTTCTGCTTCTTATTAGCTCTGCATAAATTCTCCCAGGAGCCTAATTAGCTCTGTCACAGTAAACATCTCCTCTGTTTACACAGGGGAACGCATTCCTGTTCTGTGGGTTTTGCCCCTGCAATAAGCAGCATTAGGAAGTGCTGCCCCCTCCCAGCCCTCCCGTAGGGCACTGGGTGCCTCAGTGCAGGGTCTACTGCCCCATACCCCCAGCCCTGGCTGCGAGCAGCTCCCTGCAGCCAGCACACAGCCACCTCTGTGACCCCCAGCCCCCCACCAGCACAGGGGCAGGGGGCTCAGCTGGACACCCCAGGGCACAGCTCCCTTACACTCCCTTGGCACTGGGACATGGGGCTCCAGGAGGCAGCAGGCTTCCAGCCACGCATCTCCCCGTGAGTTAACAGGCTGCATTGCCACTTACCCAAGCAAGCAAGCTGGGCTTGCCAAGGCAAACTTGTTTCCCCCCAGGCAGTCTTCAAAATAAAGTGCCTATAAGGAAAAATAAATAAAAAAGAAAGAAAAAGCCAACACCTGGGAACGCTATCAAGAGATAGTGGACTCTTACACTGGGAAGAAAGAATTGACCGATTTCAAGCCTTCTTTTCAGATCTGGGCACTTCCCGCATGTGAAATCATTGCAGCACACAGCTTATCTCCTGGGCTTCTCTCCAGCCTGAGGCAGGCCAGATTACTTCCCCTATCAGTGTTTGTGCTGGAATCCCGCTGCCTGGCAGGGAGCAGGAGCTGCAGCTGCTGCTGAAGCTGGCGGTGGTGGTGTGCTGTCAGCCCTGCCCGGGTGCAGCCCTCCTGCCCAGCCGTATCTGTCACAAGGAGTAACGCCCCGGCCATGCAGCCTCTGGTTATCCATGGGATTTCCACAGTAAGTGTCTGCACCTCTCCACTGCCACCAGCGCATCTTCAAGCTACTGCCACCACTCCGGGATTTTATAACGCAGAACTTCTCCTCCTGAGAGTAACAGCCGTACACCTTGAAGGAATAACCACAAGTAAAATTGGCTCTGTACATTAATTATCTTTAGACATTTGCTCCAAAGTGCAGGCAGTCATTTTTATGTTTTAACATTTATAGTTCTGTACGAAGCAGTTCGTTATGCAGAAAGATCTCAATTCAGTCAGGTTCTCTCTCCCCTCTCAGTTTTTACGTGGAGCTTCCAGACCTTTTTCTCTGAAGGAAGGTCTCAGCTCAGTGCTGTCAGGAAGGTGCTGTAGCTCACGGAGCAGTGCGGTGAGGGGTGACCCCCGTTCTGTGCTGGGTGCTGTTGGTCCCCATCCCACTGTCAGCCTTCCCCTAGTCCTGTGCCAAGACATTAAGAACTGACCCCAAGATGCTACCCGTAACTCTGGATTTCCTGATGCTGAGCACAGCCTCCTGAGCCCCAAGCCCCTCTGAGCCCCCCACCCGCCCGCAGCTCCCCGCAGGGATGCTGCTGGAGACCACGGCTGCTGTCTGCAGCCTGGCTGGGCGATGCTTGCTGCTCTCCCTTTAGCTGGTAAGATAAGGTTTAGAATGAAAGTTGTGCAGACCAGATAGTAGGAAGAATTATTGACTACAAAATTGTGAACACACCTTTTGGAGCCTTTTCATCACTCATTACAGCGAGTTACCAGCCAGACACTAGCCACACTAGTGTTCAGCATTACGGTGGTGTATTTAACATCAGGTCTGGAGGGTGGATCACCTGAGAAATACAAGGGAACAGTCTCCACAATATGACTTGTTGGCAATCGCATTTTTAGTACCCTTCACTACCAGAAATAGTGTCTGAAGTGTTTGGCAACTCTCAAAGTTCTCCAGGTGAAGAAATAAAAAAAGGCTCAAGTCACAGGGCCGCCAACAGACCCGCTCCAGCTCAGCAGGGAGCAGGGCATTAGGGGCTGCTGGGCCCCGTGGGTGCCGCCAGGGACACCGTGCACCACCGGGACATGGGTGGGTCCTGCTGCCCCTGCACAGCGGCACCACGGGCTCACAAGGCCAGGCAGGTCCCAGCCCCGGTGCCTTGGTGCGCTGGGAGCTGTCACCACACAGCTGTGCCACCTCACATAGCCTGCCTGAGCCTGGGCTAGACAAAGCAAAGGGGATGATTGCTACCAAGTCCACCACAGCAGCACGGGTGGTCTGTGATGGTTGCTGCAGCAGAGATGGGCACAGGCTGTGACTGAGGGAGAGGGATACTCACGCAGCAGGAGTGCGCATCTCTGTGTCAGGGTGTAGGCACAAAGAGCATTTCTCGTTAGCTCAGGAGAGTATGAAAGCTCCCAGGAACCTCACACTGCTGTTCTCTCTGCCCTAGAGTGCTCTCCTAGCTCCAACAGATTTCTCTGGAGTCTGATTAAACTCATCATTTGTCACTGAAAATGTCATAAAATATTTATGACACAGCTGATATTTAAAGATCACAGCAGAAATTTCTAATAACCACTGTAATTCAGTGGAAGCACAAGCTGATTGACACAGCCAGAAAATTGAAATACTAGAGCAAAGAAACACTCTGATGTGCCCACTAATTAGTTATCCACAATTCCTGGGGTAAAACTTGCACACTCAGACCCTATCCAAGCACTTCTGTGTAGCCACTACTGCTGTGCAGGACATCTGAGACGTACAGACTGAGGCATGTTCCAACTTCCATTTGGAAGTTCTGCCTAGACTTAACACAATCAGGTTTTATGCTTCACGATGTTGCATAATCTAATTTGAATTCTTTCAGGGTTTTGCCCTCCAAACAGTAAATGATTAGAGGGTAATAAAGGACAATGGGGAAAATGCTTTGTTTTCCTTGTTTTCGATGCACTGCCAGATCACAACATGCCTTCTAGTTAGGAAAAGGAAGGAATAGCCTTCTCCATCTTCTGGCAGAACTCAAGGTCACCTCTCAGAGCTCTGTCCTCCCACCACAAGCTCAAGGACCTTTGTTTACGCATTGTTGGTCAACTTAAAGGAAATAAGGCTCCAAGAATGTTATTTTCAAGCTGTTGTCTCTGCTATTACTTGCCACAGATAAAGTTACCTAACTAATATTTAATGGCTGATCAGTTGAGCTGGGATTGAAGAATTCTGACTGCCCACCTAAATGTCATTGGCATCTATCTCATGCTTGTTTTATGCATCCTGGACGTGTTGGAGGAGAGTTACTTCAGCCCAGAGGCCTGACTTCCCTGGCACTGAAATCTTGCAGACCCTCAGGGACAGACCGTTCACAGCTCTTTCATGCCCAGAGCTGATTAAAGCCATCTCCCACATTTGTTATGCAAATGCAAACGAGTAATTGACTCTGTACTGAAGGCAGGAAATTCTTCAGCCTCTCTCTGCACCAGCTTTACTCTTAGGGAACTTTCATCGACTCAGTACAGGTGAGGAGAAATTCTGCTGACAATTTTGCAATTGGAAGTGTTTTCTGGAAAAACAAACAAACAAACAAACAAAAAAAAACCATTAAAAAACAAACAACAACAACGAGCTTTCAATACAGTAAGACCTGCAGGAAAGATTTCTAAATTGCCACTGCTTTCTCACAGAAGTGCATTTTACAGCAGAGGAAAATAGTGCACTCATTTTTTATTTTGGGTTTAACGTGTTCTTCAGCTCTAGTTTCTAACATGGTACATAAAACTCTTTCCTTAACTTAGAGTTGAAGAGTTATAGTTGCATCACTACTTAAAAAAAAAATAAAAAAAAATCAGATGTTCAGTTAGTTGGGATAAAATGGCTTTTTAATAGCCTGCACCATTAACTACAGATATTTTAAAACTATAAAAGAGAGCTGTAATAATAACAAATTGTTCAAGAAAAAAAGGCAACTGATATAACTGCTTCAAAGTAGGGAGGCAAAAAACAGAATATTTTTTTCATAGAAATGAATGAGTCACAGTAGAACATCTATGATCGTAGAACAACACTAGATTTAGTCACTGGTAAATAACACAGTTATGAAGGAACAAATACAAAAGGATTCCTCACCACTCACCTGGAGACTTCTACAGTCAGAAGGTATCTTTGTGATTACACAGCCCTGGCACTGGGCCTCCTGGTGGCATTTCCTCCCTGAATGGGATGAGCTCCTTCACAAAAAGCACAGTTGAGCCCACCCAAGCAGGCCCTGTGACTTGGAGGAGGATGTTCCAAGAACTGAGTATCCTCACTTGCTGGAAGTGATGCATTTATTTCCTGAATTTGTTCATTTTCAGATGAAGTCATTGCACACTCATACCTTTATCTTGTTCTCTGAAGATCCATTTATTCCACAGTCACCACGTAGATATCTATAGACAAGAGACTTTAAGGTGTTTTGATTTAAAAAAAAAAAAAAAAAAAAAAAAAAAAAAAAGCTGAACTCCTTAAGCCTTTCTATATGGAATGCTACAAAATCTCCCCTTGTTGTTTGACCTTCACATGGAAGCACCTGCAGGTATCAGGCATGGGCATGGCTCTACTGATGGACTTCCAGTTTCTGTGCAGGTCGCTTTTATGAGGCTTCTCTGTCTGCATGGCCCTAGATCACAGAGGCACTTTAAGTCACAACATCACACTCATTCACCCTAAACTTGTGCATAAATTCAGTTTTCAAGAGATTCAAGACGTCTCCAGCTGAGCATCTAACTTACACAGGAGTAACATCAAAGCTTCACAAGGCTGACATGGGTCTTGCCTGGTTGAGCCCTGAACACCCCCAGGAATGCAGCCCCCAGCCTCCCTGAGCCTCTCCTCCTGTGTTTGACCACCTCAGGATGAAGGCCTTTCCCTACATCTACCTGGCACGTTCCTTGCTGCTGTTCCTGCCACTGCCTCTCGTCCTTCCAGCGTACCTCAGGAGGCACCTGGCTCTTCCCCACAGGGAGCTGAAGGAGGTAGAAGGATCCTCCAGCCCTCCCCAGGGCTGCACAAACCTACTTCTCAGCCTCTCCTCACACAGTCCCATGCTCCAGCTTCAGTTTTGTAATCTTCTTTTGTTGTTTTGTTTTGAGTGGAGGGGGCACAATTCAATTTTCCCAGCTTCTCTTTGAGAGATACTTAATTATAGCTTTTTTTTTTCTTTCTTCCCCCCTTGCACATACTACAAAAAGGCAAAGATTAAGATGGTCTACTATCAAAACATCTGAGACAGCTGTACAAATGGCTCCATAGGAATATCCCAGATGAGTAGACGGGCTATTAAACTCCGTGTCTGTGGATTGGTCTAGCGCAGATCAAGAAGATAGCGATCAGCTGGTATTGTTCAGCAGCAGGGAAGTCATTTGTCTTCAATATGAACACAATGCTCCTATTGTTGCACATCAGCTAGGGACCAGCCCTGTTATTGTGGCATTGATTAGTTGGTTTTGAGAGGGCAGAGGAGAGGTCTGAGTTTTAAGCACAGCTGAAAATCAGGTAAGGGAACGGCGAGCAGGGAACACGGCACAGGAGCAGCTTGCTAGAAGGGCTGTTCTAACATCATACCTAGAACAACTCCATCGCTACCCAGAGGCAACAGCCCCACATCCTCTCCACATATGTGACCAGATGAAGAGAAGGCCAGCGTGCAGAGTGACCCCTGCACCTTTATACATGCCAGTACCTGGGTCAGCAAAGCACCTTTTTGTGTGTTTATGTGACTGGGCTGCTTGGCCTGGTGCGTCCCACATCTGCCCCAAGAGTAATGCTGTGGACGCAGGTCCTACCCCGTGTCCCAGCTGCAGGGGGGTGGCAGCCCTCCCCAGCAGCAGGGAGGGTGCTTGGCCCAGCCTGGAGCATGGCGGTGCTTTGTCACACTCCCCAGCAAGGCTCAGGCAGATGAAGTCACCATGGGCCGTGGCAGTATGGGGTCAGACCTGGGCACCGCAGCAGCTGGCAGTCCCTGTCTTACACCCACGCTGGCCACCACTGAGAGCAGTTATCTGCTGCTTATCAGCAGTTGCCTCTTGTATTTCTCCTGAATTGCTGCAAATACCCACGAGATCTGGGATGGGATCCTGGCACTGCCACCACACCATGCAGCACCGGACCTGCTGCTGCGCTCCTCAGCGGGACCTCCCCAGGGCAGTGCTTTCCAGATCCAGCAACCAGGTGCTGTACCGGCATCAGGAAACTATGAGTAGTGTCTGAGAACAGCTTCCAGTGATCTTACCCATAAAGCTCCCAGCCTAATAAATGTAAGTAGGAATGTCACTTTCATTTAATCTTTCCTGACTTCCTCACACACACACACGATTTGGCCCGCACTTTCATTACTCCTGGTGTCACCAGGGTTATGCTGCAACTCAAGCCATTCACGCTGTGTCCAGCTGTGGTGGAAGCATAACAAGGAGTAAAGCTGTTACCAGCCCCGTGGGGCAGGGCAGATAGCTCAGCTGGGCAGCAGGGCACCAGTCCTGCCGTCCTTTGTGGGCACACGGCTGCACCAAATGGGCTCTGGCATTCGCTGCACAAGTGGGCTCCCAGCAGCAGCACCATGCCAGGACGCTGCGTGCAGCCAAGCAGTAAAGGCAAAAAAGGTGGCAGGATGGGAGATAGAGCCAGCTGCATCCCCATCGCACCGAGACCAAGACTCAGCACTCAGGAGATGCTCAACTCTGCATTGATTCTGCATGCAGAAACAGGTTGAAAAGAAACAGTGACAAAATATCACAGAAGCAGCAGTGACGGAGTCCTGATTCATGGGTCCCCCTCTACCGCCTAATTTGTTGTTTTGAAAGAGATCAATGCCGTTGATCTCTGCCAAAATTATGGATATGCTACTATTTGTAGATCAGTTCAGTGCATTTACAATCCCACGAGAAATCTCACTGCCGAATTTACTCATTTTCTCATTGATACTGACAACAGTAAGCACTCCTCTCCAACTCCTGGTTCTGAGGCCAAAGATCCCAAGGAAATTCTGCATCTAAAAAAGCAACCCCAGCACAAACAGCTTTGTGACATTAAGCAAATCAAACCTCAGCCTTACCCTGCTCTTTGTCCCTACCCTGCAAAGGAACCAGCAAACACCATCTTCTCTTTGCTGCTTACTCCCAGACCAGTGCCCTAGGCAGGGCTGCAAACTGCTGCTCATGTAATGCACCTGGCTGTTCTGGGACTGATACCACATTAGATCTAGGAAGGAAACCTCACTAATTACTGCTTTGAAAATTAACTGTTTCTGCTGATGCTTATATATAACTATTGTTATCATCATGCCAGAACTCCCCAGTTTTTGCACTGAACACACACACACACCCTCTGACCCCGTCTCCACCACATGGAAACTAGCTCAGGCTGCCCCTAAACCAGAAGAACATGGAAACTAGGTATGTGGCCGAGCTCATTTCTTTCACTGCAAAACCTGTTTGGAGCACAGCTTTGCTGCCCACCTTGTCTCCATCATCCATAAAATGCCGTCATTTACTGCACACGTGGACATGACCGCTCCCGGGGTAGCTGACTTGCAGGATGTCTGTCTTTGCAGTCCTGCCACAATGCAGTCAGTGCTTAGCGCTAGGAAATCTCATGGTTTTCTGACTGCTGCAGGCTGTAGGAACATTTTTCATAAAGAAATGATGCTCTCTTCCTCTCACACACTCTTCCTTTTGTTTGCAGGCATGACCTACAAATAGCAGCTAGGTATTAAACTAAAGAAGAGTAAAACAGACGACTTGTTCACCAGAAATCCTTCTTCTGCAGTTTGACTTTGTGGCTTTGACCTAGTTTTCTTCACCCTATCTGAACTACTGGGTTGCAGAGAAAACTGAAAAAGGACAGTTTCTTTGCAAATGTGGAAGTCAAGGACTTATCTTAGAGAAAAAAAAATCAGCTCATTTCGCATTCCTTCAGGGACTTTGAACCCATGGTCTTTCCAGCCTGCACCTCTTCCTCTTTGTAAGAACTCGGGTGTTTGACATTTTTCTCACTTGTAAGCACCCCACCTGAGAGTGCTGAGCCCGTCCGGAGCACCAAGGTGCAGAACGGCTGCAGCAGCTGCATCCTCTCAGGACTTCAGCTGCGTAAGCAGGTACAGAGAAAACTGAGGGCACAACCTGCACCCAGAGCACCCACAGAACACCCCGTGGAATGTAGCAAGGAGCGTATTTACAAGGGAGAAGTAGCAACCTTACAGGCACGAGAAGTACAGCAGAAATAAAAAAATAAAATTCCTTAAGAGCTGTGTTGATGCATTGTGTCCCAAATAATGCATGCTTTGGTACAGTGGGACCATTTTATATAGCAGCTAAAAGCATCTAAATCCACTCTGATATGTTCCAGAAGCACAGTGACTCAGTTGCATATGTTAGCTCATCTGTCTCCTCTTCAGATACATTTTCATCACTCAAATTCCAAGGTTATATAATTTGGGGTCACACCAGGGATCCAGTGCACGGTGCAGCCCAAGGATCGCCCATCTGTATGGAGGATTTTTACTCACAAGGAGGCAGAGCTGGGAGATGAGAATAAGCCTTCAGATGGTGACGTATGTGACAAGTTGCTGAGAGAGCTAAAGCCAGACAGAGCATCTCATTTGCTATGAATTGAGTAATTACATGACTCTAGGTCCAAACAGGCTTTTTATTAAGAAAATAGTTTATTTAGATTCTACAGCTGCAATTAATGCTGAACTGGCCCAGCTTTTCTGAAGCTCCTCCAAAGCTTCTTTCAAGCTGTGCTTGCTTCTCCTTTATATCCCATACTGATGCCTGCCTACACAGAGCTATTTTGAAATCAACAGAATAATATGAATTAAATATTTATATCAACAAATACTCGGTTGAGTGTTGCCTTCCATACTGCTAGTTGATGTACAGATCTGCACCAGACACCTCTCCTCCACAAGAGAGATTATTTCCTTTCAGTGTGAAGCAAACTGGTCAACTGAACACAAAGCATAAGCTTTACCCACCTGTTACCTAATGCAGTTGCACTAAAACCAGCCTTAAATATTGCTAGATAAATGATGCCTTTTGATCACAGGAACATTTGACTTTTGACACTTGCATAATGCTTACAGTGGACGCAAGGGACACAGCACCAGCTCTGTCACCCTGCTCCAGTGCCCCCTCTCAGCCCAACACACAGCACAGGGAGAGCTGCTGCCAGCCGCCTTCCTCCCCGTGCACCTTCTCACCTTCAGCAACCCCAGCTCTGGGCTGAGAAGTGAGCGCACTCCAGACACTAAGGGTTTTGCCACCACCAGCCGCCCTCCCAGGGACAAGCTGCCCCACCTGTGCCACAATCGCTGCCCCCAGATGCACCCACAGCTCCCAGGCGAGGCCCAGGCTGCTCCTCACCCCTTACACAGCACGGTCACCTTGCATACAGCACAGGTTTGGGACATGGTGAACCCCTAGTCAGGGCAGGGAATCTAACTGCTCTGCTACCCTGACACGTAAAGCCTTTTACATGCTAATGGGCAAGAGTTAAGCACACATAAGCAAGAAGCTCATACCTGCAGAGCGAGCATCTGCCCTATCAGTGAGGTGTGCTAACCAGGATTTTTCCACAGACACACAGGCAAAGCTTCTTAACCTGTAGCACCCAGACAACAAGGCGACAGGCTAAGCATCACCATTGTACTACAGAGAAAGCTGAACGCAATATCACGGGGCTGTGCAAAGTCTGCGGGTCCCGGTCTGCAGGGTCCCTGGCAGTTGCTGCTTTCCAAGGAACAGCTCGCCCATCGACACCCTTGGGAGATCCATTTCATTCCCACAAAGCCACTGGGCTGGAGGAAATGCGATTATTTCACCATAGAGCTCAGTTCACCCACCATACGTAACCTGCCCTCATCCATTATTTCACAGCCTGCGATTTGTATTCACCAACTCCACACCCGCCACCAGGACACGTAACAAAGCACACCTGCAGCAGAGTAAGAAAATATCCCTGCGGGACCCCGCTAAGAACCACTTATATGAAATCACACCTCCTTTACCTACCGCTTATTTTCCAGACCCGTTAACTAAATCAATTTTCTGATACATTTAGCATGAGCAGCCCAGGCACTGCCGAGGGCTAATCCTCCCGCACCCAGCACTGCCACCTCCAGCACACGGCGATGGGGAGCACCCCGGGGCCACCCCTGCCCAAACCCCATCCATCTCCTCCCACAGCACCCCACACGCCCGTCCCACCCCTCCTGCCAGGGGCTGCACAGCCTCACTCAGCAGCTTGTTCCTCCTACCCTCACTGCCAGACATCTCCCCCAGTCACTACTTTTCCCATCACAGCAGGACCTGACCAAGACGTATTTAGCTTGGGATGCCCAGTAACCCCAGAACCCTCTGACGAGGGCTGGCAGCTGCTCCTCGTCCTGCGTTAGTGAGCCCGTTAGCTCCTACGTGCCCGGCATTCCCAGCACAGCCTCCAGCACAGCATGGGCTGGAGCCAGCCACAGCCCTGACACACAGCCAGGCCGCGTCCCGCCAGCCCAGCCACCATCCGTGGGTGGCAATGCATTTCTGCCACTGTTTAATAGAGGCACAGCTTTTGCCTAATGTTTTTAAACAGCAACATCGTGTGAGGCAGCGATTGACTTGCCACAAGGAATTGCCTGAGCTATGCTGCATCGCCCTTTTGCACGCCTTTAGCCCATGGCACGTGCACGGCAGAGGGCAGGAGCCTGCAGCTTCCCGTGTCCCTGTGCGTGGTTTTGGCGGTGCTGAGCAGGGAGGAGCCCCCTGCCCGGGGGAGATGAAGCCTGCCCCAGGACACTGCCCTCGCCCCTTTGCCCATGGGCAGAGCCAGGCTGAGCCACCCACACCAGGCGAGGCTCTGCCGGCAGCTTCAGCTTGCAGGGGCTGATGCAGAGCAGCCCCCTTGAGAGGGGGCCATGCAGGCGAGGCGAGGTGTGCGCTCACCCCCCCAGTGCTGCACTGCTCTCTTGTCTTCTGCCTGCACCTCCGGCTGCCCGCTGGCCTGCAGAGGGCCTGGGGGGCTTCCCCCACCCCAGCTAAACCACTTTGCACTATCACTTGCCCCTCCAGCAGAGCTGCCCTGCCTCGTGCAGCTATTGTCACCTCTTCCAGCCACTTTTGGGGATGTTTTTTTACCTTTTCTCCTGTCCCAATCTAAGCTTTTCTCTTTTCCTTTGTGTCTCCACTGCTCCCAGGGCAGGGCAGGAGATGGCCTCATCCTGGCGGGGTGCGGCGCGGAGCTGGGAGCTGGCACAGCCAGCCCTGCTTGGAGCCCCGTCCTCTGCCTCGCTGCCGGCTGCCGTGCTGGGAGTGCTGCCCACAGCGCAACTCCTGCTGTGGGTTAATTACCTTTGCTGGGCTTTATTCATTCTTTTATTGCACTCATTTTTTGTATTTATTTCCCTTCAGGACTCACAACTGGAATATCCAAATGAAAATGTGAAAGTTGGAAACCACAAGCATACGGTTTAGGCGGTTTGGGTTTTCTCACATAAGCAGTGCAGTTTGTCTTGGAAATGCTCCGTAAAGGGCTGAGCTCACATTTACAGTAACGTTTGCACTAAATGAATGTTTTGCTGCACTGCAACACTGATTCTGTTATTTGTATAGCTAAAGTTGCCACAAAAACTTGGACTTGATGATCCTTAAGGGTCCCTTCCAACTCAGGATATTCTATGATATTCTATGATAAAAAACTCTTAAAAATGAAAACATTTTCAATACATTGGTTATGTTTTGCTTTCATGCTTTTTTTCATTATTTTTTATAAGGTTGTATCTGGTACAGGAAAACAGCAAGCCGATAAGGAAAGGATTATTTACTCACAAGGAAGCTGTAAATGTTCTTTTTTCACTTTCTGAATGTAAATATTTGCTTTCTGGTGTTTGCTGAGAGGCACGTACTAGCTTCCAGACTGAAGAGCATCACCACAGATAAACAGCCCGCACGCTGGCCCTGCGGCCGGCAGCGGTACCCCTCGCAGCGTGCTGTGCAGCTTGCCGTGGGCAGCGAGGCCACGCGCTGGCCCTGGGGATGGTTTTTGCCCAAAACCCCAGCGAGGAGCACAGCGAGTGCTGTGCACAGCACTGCCAGCAGGCTGCCATGGATCCCCGAGTCCTGCACGTTCAGCCTAAAAAATAACCTCCTGGGGTGATTGGAATGTAATTGATCAGCGTCCCGTTGTGAAAGGCGGCTTAAAAACCAAACAGCAAAGGGAACTTTGATGCCAGGGACCTTTTGTGCTACTGCTCCGTGCTGGCAGTCAAATGACAATAACCATCCCAGCAAATGCCACTGGAGGAGCCTCAGGAAGCTCTAATAAGGTGATGAAAATGCGAGCGCAACTCAGAAAGTTAACAGGAGGAGCTGGCAAAGGCCTGCAGTTCAGCCTGCCTGTCATCGCCATTAAGTAGGAGGTGTTTGAAGGGACCTTGAAATGGATGGGAGCCTGTAAAGAGAATCTGTTAGCTCAGTCATCCCCTCTGTCAGCTGCCAGCAGGGCTGCACACACCTTCACCAGAAGTAATGCAAGCGGGGTTATTTTTGTCGCTTATCCTGAGGCCACCGGTGAGGAGCTGCACTTGGTGGGGGGGGTCAGAGCCGGGGCCCCCGCGGCTGCCTCCAGGCACTGGCCTCGTGCTGCTGCGTGCCCTATCGGCCCAGCCACGGGTCTGCTTGGTCAGTTTACAAGGATTCGAAACACTCACGTTTAAGCTTGCTCAAAAGAAGAAGCAGAAAAAAGATGCTTATTGCCTGGTGGTATGTACTTCACTTTTTATTTCAGCTAGTACAACTGAAAACATTCAGTTTTTTTCTATCAAACGGTGAATAACTTCATCTGAGAATATGCATTTTGGATGAGTTAATATTCTTTCACAGCACAGGGTATACAAAATGTTACCTGTCAGAGAACTGCTGCATGCCCATGAGAAAATGAGTTGGCAAACCTGCGTATAAGCACTCAGAAAACTTACATATGTAGCCAGAAAAATCAGGCTGAAACAATGAGTAATGATATGACAGTGTGAAAGAAAGAAGCTTCTTCCAAATATGACAAACTTACTTGGAGAAGCTAATTCATTTTATTACAGTAAAACATGATTGACATCATGCACATTTTCTCCTAATTTGTGCTTTTGCTTTGTTTGTTATATATATAATGTTCTATAACATGTGGAGACTTCAATCTATGGATGTCAATGAACTTTCATTTTTTCCTTAAATAGATTAAATCTTTTTATTTCTGCACTTAAAATAAACATGACAAACAAGGAAAAGAAGAAGGGGGTGGAATGGCCACACTCTGGGATCCGAAGGACCACATTTAGGGAGGTGAGGGCAGAAGGGCCGGCTTGTGAGGGGCTCCCCTGCGGTGCAGGAGCAGTGCAGGGTGCCCAGGCTGTCCCTTGTCCCCGCGCCCTGGCCAGGAGCCAGCCACCACCCCTGGGACCGACGTGCTCCTCCGCACGAGCACGCTGCGGCCACGTGCTGCGCCTCTGCTTGCTCCTCTCACTGTGTTTTGAAGTATTTCCCTTCAGTGTTGCCACAGAAGCTATATAATTAGATATTTTATTTACATGGATAAATGAGGTAATTATCCTTACTTATACATTACTATACAATCCATCCATTTTAATTGGATTATGTAAGTAATTGGACAGCAATGTGCTAAGCAGAGAGAGCAGCAGATGAAAACGCTGGCTCTTTTACACAGAGTTCAACCACTATCCAGAAGCATATGACAATGTATAATAAGAGCAACTCATTACAAATCATTACTGCCAAGGAACTGTTTCCAATCATATAAGTGATTCTCTTTCTATGCTTTCATTACCAGCTCTCCATAGCTTTAATATTCCTGCTTTTGCAAGCGTTGTATTTTGGGATCCATTGACAGCTCCATGTTTGCCCATTATCATGCAATAGTCTCTCAGTTTTCTTAAATTTCTTCATTAGGGTTGTTTCCCCTACTGTGAATTTTTCTCATTCTAATTTGATATGAAACGGTTTCTTGGGGTTTCATCACATGAGCAAGTGTGTGCTGACATGCACGCTGCCTCTTTGGACTTCATTGTCACCTGCAGACTTCTACCCAGAGCTTCCTGCACAGGCAAGAGCTTCTGCCACTCCTGGGGTTCACCCACAGCACCATGACATCTGCCAGGACTCGGCTTGCCTCCCGCTGAAAACAGCGAGGCAGCAAATGCTGACACCACAGACCTGGCAAAAAATCCTGTTCTTTTACAGCATGTTGTTTCTTCTTCCTAAAAGATTTCTGCAAAGCAGGAGCCGCTTCCTTGTTTGCTTTCTGTGCATCTGCAAAATACATGTTTTACACAGCAAATAACTATGTTGTGAAAAGCCAGCTGCACTTTTAGGCTGGGGACAGGAGAAAGAAGCAACTTGTTTTGCTTCAGTTTGCATGGACCAGTCTCTCGGCTGATCTGTGTTCTCTGCCTTTTAGTGTGTCCATCACTGGATGCTTTAAAATGCATTCTTGGCTTGAAGTTGTGCCCTGATGGTGTCCCTGGGACAGTTTGAAAATCTTCTTCTGGTTTCTGCAGAGGTTTGGCAGGTACCGTGCTGCCTTCCCAGGGTGCTAAGTGTGCTGGTCAGTAACTGCAGTATTTTGGTGATATATTAAAATGCCTTGTAAACCAATTTGCAGCAGTGAGTGATTGCTCTGCTTGAAAGACTTCAATTTTCGTTTCTTATTTTTCAAAGCAGATACTTATTATAATACAGGTTATTAAACATCAGAGGTTTATCTTGTATTGAGACAATTTACCTTCTTTTAAAGGCTCATAAATGCTTTATAGTGCATGGTTCTGAATAAATATTCGATTCCATATGAGATCTTCTTGCTCTGGGAGCAGAGTTGTGAAGGAGCTGTCACGTACTTCTCACTGCTCCTCACACAAGGGCCATCTTCCAAAGCCTCCTGTTATCTCGGTCAGGTGTCCAGTGCTGCAGCAGCCCGGGCAGCCCGTGCTGCTCGCCCCTGGGCTGCCTGCCTGCACGTCCAAACACAGCCCCAGCCCAAGATATGTGAGCCCAGTAAGAAAAACGAGATGTCGCACATGGCATAAAAATGTTTTCCTGTGAGGTTTTCATTTGTCACACGATGTGCTGACACACAAATATGAAGCGGGGACATGAACTTCATCCCTGCTGAAAAAAAAACATCCCTGCTGAAAAACTGTCCCCGGTTGTCCTGACCAATGGTAAAATCAGGCCTGGGTTGGGATGGCAGGGCAGGAACAGTTTGCTTTGCTCTCTTATCGATGGGAGGAAATCAAAGTGCAGTAAA